ACGTGTCTCTAAATTCATTGAGCATTGATATGTTGGTACGATAATCGAATAGGCAACTATTCGTGCTCTGCGGTAAGCTGCTGGTATCTCTTGAAAATGAAGGCGTTTTATCGTGCTGGTTCAGACACTCAGAAGCTTGGCAGTGCCGCAGCATACGTGAAAGGAGTGACGTTACATGGGTAGTACTTCCTTTCCGTGTAAAGTGAAGCCAGTAGCTCTTTCTGTTTGAACGTTTCATCGTTCAATTCTTCACTTATTACTTTATTATTTTTCCTTCCTCAAGCAGCTTTAAAGGGGCGATCGTTCAATGATTTTGAATGGGCAGTTGAAACCAAACAATGTTTATAGTCTTATACGTCGGCTTATATTTAATTACGGCTTATATTTATATTCACGTCGGTTTTTATGTAAAAAGTAAAAACTAAGCATCTGAATATTTTTTAAATTATCTGTGTTATTTGGTAGTTTTTCGAACTATGCGGTGGAACGTTCCTCAAATCAAAGTAAAAACTTAACTATGAAACACACATTAACTAATTAACGTTGATATCAAATATTCACAAGATTTCAGGAAATCATTTCTTTTCCCTTCAATCACAAATCTGAAATCTATCGATTAAATCGATCTTCAGAAAATCTGTAAGGCGTTAGTAGGAACGAGAGCAAGGCAACTTGGACGTTTGGGCCAAATTAGGCCGGCTAGAGACGTCCTGCCTTACGGTTAAATGAACTTCCTAAGTTGATTGGGCCAGGAATGAATACGTGAAAAATCGCCTTCATTTTAGCAAGATACCACAAACCTACATCGAAACACGAATAGTTGCCTCCTCTATTCTACTTGTAACACATCTGAAGGTCTTGGTCCTTAGATGATCTTCAAACTTGTCGTCTCAAAAATTCCGTTTATTCAAAGTTAAATAACTAATAAGAACTGGGTTGTTTCATTGAACACTAGATATGAAATTAAAATAATGATCCTGCTGAAGAATTCACTACGTTAATTACATCTGGTGCGGACAAGTATGTTGCTACTAACTTTCGTTTCATCTATGGAGTTATTTTCGTATCAACACTGACATACTCGATGCACTCGCATACCCTTTTTATCAGTCTAGGCACCTCTTCGAACTCGTTTCTAATACTTTTCCGTTTTAAAAATAGCTGTTTTACAATGGTTACAGGCGCCGTGCAGGAAGAAAATTCTGTATGCATGCGTGTTAGTTAGCGTTGTTTTGCAGAAAATGCACAGTACACGTCTGTTTATCTGCCGGGTGTACTTTGACTCTTCGCCCATGCTTAGAACGCATTCAATAATAAAACAAGAAGGAAACGCTGCAAAATTGCTATCCCATACATTATTTTTAATCAGCTGATCATGACTAATCGATTCTATGGCTTATTGGCTTAGAATTTTCGTACTTTAAACTGTCTCAGCTCAATGCAAGAAACCTCCTCCAAAATAATATGAGCTAATGTCGAGAAGTTTTCTTTTGAAAGTGAAAAATTAAAACGAGATTGAAATTGTTGAAGCTTTCAAATTCAGCTAATTTCGTTTTACTTGAACATGTCATTGTTTCCCTCACGGAAGAAAATAACTAAATTTCAATGTTGCCAAGTTTTCCCTCTTAAATTGCATTTTTACCGGAAGAATCTTGGGAATCTCCACCGGAAAATCTCACGGATTTTTCTTCAAATCTCATGCAAAAACCACCAAAAAGTTGGACACAAATTGCACAGTTACGAGGAACTTAAACGTAAGTTGAATTGTTTGAGTCAATTTTGCAACCTTGTCATGGAGTACCGTTCCTTAATTCTGGAAACGTTGATACGTCAATTGATTTCTACCACTTAATTCATTATTTAAAAAAAGTCTCTGCTCATATACCGTCATTTTCTCCCACATTTTCTCAATATTTTTGGTTTGGAACGAAACTTCACACATGGTTTGACAACAGTTCAGCTATACGATATATTATGCACGTTCTATTACTGCGTCTTCAAGTTTGAACCGAAACGCTTCGTTGCCTATAATTCGTTGCTTGGCTGACAAAAGGGCCTAACTGCACATTGAGAAAAGCCCGGGAAAGCATTGAGTTTTATGGATGACAGGGTTCATCGTAAAGTGTAGTTACGCCTTTATGTCAGGAGGGCGATGAATATCCCTACATAATGCCTCCCCCCTCCTCCTTCGGCCCTCATCCAACGGTCGTTTCAATGCGCTTCGTGATAATTTCCACGGTTTCTCTTTTTCAAGCTACATTTACATGGTTTCCTCCCCCCTACTTTTAGTAGTTATGACTGGGAGTTTCGACGAGGGCTACCCAACTTGGCCACATTGATTTTGCGTATGAAATCGCATGAATGAGTGCTTAGTAAAATCTCATTGTGAGCTTAAAAACATCGCTAAATTTCCTTTGAGAAAATACAAAGGAGGCAAAGGGCCGTTTTCGACCCCTCGTTGAATTTTCTCCACTCTACGATTTTTCGCTCATGGGAACTCTATATTTTTACGGAATGCACACTGAAAAAAAAAAATCTTAAATTTGTCGCCAAGACGTATTTCTTCTTAAATCAAGAATTTTTCTGGTTAATATAAGCTACTTTTTTGCTTAACCCGGACATTATTTTTCTTGTATCAAGAAAAAGTCAGCTTGAAGCAAGATAAAATAAATTCTTGGCGGCAAATTCAAGAATCATCATGCTTGATCAAAGCTACTTTTTTTTCAGTGCAATATGATTTGGTCACTTTCGGCTTCTTTTGGATCTGATAATGTCCTAAGTATGGGCCCGGGCCAATTTTGGCGAAAAATGCGAATTTTGGGGGTTGAAGATCGAATGCCGATAAATCCGTATTTTTCACTCAAGTAGGTTATCTATGTTAAAGTCTGCATTAGACCCGAGGAGAGACCAAAAATGACCATGTATACATATCTCGTAAAATGTAGACTCCTAATGGAAAAATTTCGTATAGTAGAGAAAATTAAGCTAGCAATACTTCTACTTTTCAGAGATACTGGAATACGGAATATATTTTCATACCAATTTTTCAGATACTTATATTCACAGTTTAATCTTGGATATCTAAAACATCCAGGGCAAGCTATTCTACAAAAGTGAATGATTTTTGCGGAGAAATTTGGGGACACCTCCAAATATTCATGCAATATTATTCCTATAAGCACGGCGAAGTGGCCATACGTTCTCGTCTGATACAAGTCTGTAGAGTTTGCAGTGGCGACTCTCGAAAATTAGCAACACTATAGTAGTTGTTCTCCTTTGAATTAATCACAAATATCGATTCTAGGTGAGACTACAGAATTTATTATTTTACGTATACATTTAATCAAACAGAACCTCCCATTCTGAACTTATGAAACTACCTCCTTGATAGAGATATCGATCGTATTACTCACACCTATTACCAATGCCCAGCAGTGGCATGGCGTGAATTGCGATGTATCGATTGTCATGCCATTTAAACCTATGGTAAAGAATCGATTACTAAGGTGTTCGCTGCGAACACCCTGTTTATCGATCCTTTTCCATAGGTTTAAATGGCATATTAATCGATATATCGCAATTCATGCCACGCCACTGATGCCCAGTGTTGTTAACATGGGCAGTGATTCTTGAAAGTTGGCAACGCGTTGTTTTCTCAATTTAAATCCATTAAAAATGTCGATTTTAACAGGCCAAGAATCGATTGTTTTACATACATTGAAACAGAGGGAAAACAGTGTTGCCAACTCTCACGAATCGCCACTACAGCGAGAATAGCCGCTAGAAGCCACCTAGTTAGCGGGGGGAGCCTCCTGAATGTTGATTGAGTACCCACTTGCCTGGAGTCCAGAACGGGAACAACAGTGGGTGGGTCCTGAGAATGGGAAGGAGGAGTAAAACAGGGTGCCTCCCATCCCGCACCAATCACGTTCGGCTCCGTCCTGGATACGCGCGCCCGGTTTCTCCCTCCTCTTTTGACCCCCTTCACCCCTTCCCTTCGCGGCGGTCCGCGCTCCGCAGCGCCGCTACCGCTTCGCGACGCGATGTCCCCTCTCCCCTCTCCCCGCCGCGTCGTGACGCGCTATGACCAATTCTTATAAAATATCATTTTTTTTTTCTTTTTTCATTTTTTGCACCTAAAAGCGCAGTGTTTTCCTGCTAGACAGTAAATCGTCTGCCTCTAGTCTCCGGCTTTCCCGCCAAATTATGTTGCGTAAAACAAGATCCATTACCAAACGACTTTACCAAGAACGTAGTTTCCCGCTACAAATCTTCAAAGCTTGAAATAGAGGCTTGTGATAATCGTGCTCTCAAGTACCTCTTTTAGAGAAGGTAGTTGTTTCAATGATATAACTTTTCCAATATTTTAAACTTCTCGGCCGAATTAAGAATACTCGTCCTCTCCTTATCACGGATATTTATTACTGCTTGTGAATATTTTCAGGTCACTGTTACCAGAGCCCACGTCTTTTTTCTAGTCCATAGAAGGAAAAAGAGGCAAAAAGAGCAGTGAAAGCCAAAAATTGTATGGGAGGAATTTATGTATTTTTTTATTTTACTTTTATTTTTTTAATGCATTAATGCCCAGCACAAGGCGCTTTGGTATATTGAAATTGAACCGATACGATTGTGCCTTGCTTTCTTTCCACTGATCACACATAATTACATTTCTCGAGCCAATACATTTTAACATTTTTTCTGGGGAGACTATATTTCCGAAGAATTTTCGCAGAAAGTAGTCACCCGAAAGTATCTTACTGATTTTTAAGATGGTAACCTGTTTGTGTTTAACTTAGAAATAAAAGAGAAAAAATTATCGAAGCAAAGACTGTTCTCATTAGAAGTTCTTGTAGCTCATGAAATTTGATCGGGTGCATCAATACGCACTGGTCAAATTTCACCGCTTCTTTATCATTTTCATCCAAAAATTTTATCACCTCAATTTTACAACTGGCTAAACTTCGCGACTCAAGTTTCCCGTGGTCTTTTTTCTGTTCCAGCAGTCGATCCGGCCGAGTACGAGAGCGGGAACGAGGAGGAACGGAACCGGCGGGACAACAACTCCAAATGGAAGCGGAAGGGGAAGAAAAGGAAGTTGATGACGATAAACAACAACATCGCCAACAACAACAACAACGACGATGAGGAAAGCGAGGACATGCACGAGAAGGGCCGCCGCAAGCTTTCCGCGGACAGTCCGGACAGGGGCGAAGTGGAGGAGGCCGAGGTGGAGAACGAAGAGTCGAGGAAAAGCAGAGAGGAAGCCGACGTGGAGGACATGGAGTCGAAAGCCATCGACGAGTACACGAAGGAAATCATGCTCAAGAACAGCCATCACCAGCAGGAGCCGGAGCCGGGAGTGGGGGTCGGCTGCGAGCCAATGAGGGGCGAGGAAAGCCAGGACCCGAAGAGCGGCCAAGACCCCCCGAGCGTGAAGAAGGAAAGCGTGGAGTGCTACTACGATAACTACATGGAGCCGCCCATAGAGTGCAGCGGCGTCGTGTCGGTTGTCACGCGCGTCCCGGTCGTGACGTGCGGGATCCAAAGCACCACGGTCATCTGCAGCAACCATGTCTCCGAGCCGGCGCCCCAGGACGACAAGATCATGATGAACTTCGAGCACCCCCACCCTCACCCCCATCTCAAGGAGGAACTCATCATGTCCCGCGAGAACGAGGAAGGGATGAACGAGAACGGGTCAGGGTCGGAGAACAACCTCATCAACTACGAGTCCGAGTACCACCAGAGCAACCAGCCGGAGCACGTGGAGCAGAACCTCTCGAGCAACAGCTCCGAGCAGGAGTATCACTCCAATCCCCCCTCGCACATCGACATGAGCGGTTATCAGCACTCGGAGTTCTCGCACCTCGCGGCGACCCTTCACCCCAGTTTCGGGGGTGGAGGTGGGGGGGCCGGCGGGGAGGAGCCCCCCCAACATCAGTACCAGCACCAGCAGCACCAGTCCACACCCTCGCCCAACAACGAGAACATAATCAGCATCTCCGGCCAGGAGCCTGATAACGAGCTGCACGGTAATAATCGGGAGCTCTTCAGTAATCAGAACAATGTTCACCACTTGCGTCATCAGCAACTGCAGCACCACTCCACCCCCTCCCCGATCAGCGATAGTAATCACATGCTCAACCTGTCCAGTCAGGAGGAGAGCGATCAGCCCCAGCAAGGGATGTTCAATAGTCAACTCAACATGTACCCACCTCCTAATCTGCCTGTGATCCACCACTCCTCGGAGTCTTCAGTCAACAAGTGAGTACTTTATCATTGTCATTACTTAATATGGACCGCATTAAGCACGAAGGAACCAAGCCACATCAGTTATTGCCAAACCTAATCGGAAAATTTAATTTTCTTACATAAAAACGGTTGTGCAATTTATTTATTTATTTATTTATTTATTTTTTTTTTGCAAATTTCAGTAAATTTTCTGACGGCACGGAGCAAATTCCTTGAAATTTTCAAAAAAATCCGCTCAAATGTTCTCTTGTAGAAAATTAAAATGCTCGGTTAAAGTTGGCAATAGCTGACTTGATTCCCTCCTGCTAAACGCGGTCCATATAATCCTCTTTTTTTCTTTTTTTCTGCTTTTTTCATTTTAGATAGCCTCCGCGATGAATCTAAAAGTTGAGGTGCTCGAGTTTAGACAATGATAATAGGGGTGGTTACTATGTTGTATACAACTATTTAGACACGCGTTTTGGGCTTAGCTCAATAAGTATATACGTATTTGAATAGTTTTTTGCACTTCTAAAGTTAAACTTTAAAATCCATCATGCGTGCAAAATGATGACCGCGGATGGTGATAACTGAGACACAGGATGTGTTGGCGTATTATCACATTGAACAATGTTTCTGAGAAGTAAGGATATCTGTGCCGGGAAGTCTAAAACAGGAAAAAAGAGAAGACACGGAAGGAAAAGTAATGAACATATCCTATAACTTTTCTAAATCTTTCTTTCCACTGAAAAGTAGACATTGGCTCAGATTCAGTGGCCATTCTTGAAAGTTGACCACACAGTTTTTCCCGTATTTAAATGTATTTTAAAAAATCGATTCATGGTGAGGCACACCTAAAATCGATATTTTTTTCAATTGATTTAAGTGGAAGAAAAACGTGTTGCCAACTTGTAACTTCGCCAATGCTCGGCTTTCAGCTTTCTGCCGGGGGAGAGAGGGTTGCACCATCTTCGCAGCAATGCAACGCGTATTTGGTTCCCTTTTGTCCTCAACCCACAATCAGTGGAATTCGTTCTAATTTCCTCAAAAATTTTGAGGAGGCAAAAGAAATACTGAGCTCTCGTTTTCGCCACTACGCGGGGAGGATGCGCGTTAGCTACTTACTTTTTTCATGGGTGGCCGTTCTTTTGAAGCTCATTGTGAATTTGCACACTGAAAAAAAAAAAAAATTCTTGAGATATTATTTTGACTTAAAGTGTCGTTTCTTGTCGACAATGTTTTCTTTAAGTTAAATTCAACATCAGTTTTTTGGAGTTGAAAAATCATCGTTTTGCTGTCGTTAAGTTCAAGTTTAAAAAAAGGATAGCAAAAAAACGTTTGGAACTAAAAAAAAAAAAAAAAATTGTCGACAAGAAACAACGCTTTAAGCTAAATGATACCTCAAGAAAATTTTTTTTCAGTGACCTCACGAATGTGCGATATTCCGTAAGTTTTCGTTTTTCTTAACGTGACCTACCGAAATATCAATAACTAAAGTCCAATGATGTGTACGTCTAAAGCAAGGTGTAGGTTTTAAGGAAACTCCATTAAGTATGATTTCTGAGTGAATGAGGAAAATTGCCCGATTTCAGAGCATTGGTTAGGTTTATTCCAAAAAAAAAAAAAATAAGACATGAGCGGAGGTTTGCAATGTCGTCAGTGGCGTAGCTATAGGAATTCTTTAAGGGGGAGGGGGGTTCATTTACATTATTTTGTTTCCTCTGATAATATTTTATGTCTGCCCTCCAAAAGTTATAAAAGGTNGGGGGGGGGGTCCAGACCTCCTGGGAGTTTCCAAGTTCATCAAGACTCGATCATTTTACATCATTTAAATGGGCGGGAAACATTTTTGCCAACTTTCAAGAATCCCTACTGCTCTCCCACATCTGCTAGCGCCAAATCCGAGCCTAGAAACCATAAAGCGAACAAGTGTTATGATCACAGACCAAAATCTCCGAGGCACAGCCACTCTGCCGTGCTAAAGAAGAACGCCGTATGAGCCTTCAGACGTTGCCAGATTTCCTGCGACAAATCACGAGTTTTCAGAAAAATTTGTGAATATTTTTTCTCCAATTTTTAAGAGGATTTTGTTCGTAGTTTTATCTAAAACGTCTGACAATTTCAAGGAATAATATGCATAACTTTCTTCGAAAATAAATATTTTATTCGGGGAAATTTGGTAACTCTCGAATGTTCATACGGCGTTCTTCCTTAGCACGGCAGCACTGCGATACGAGCTCGAATTCTCGTCACAGTCCTTCCGATCACCATCCAAATTCCAGGACCATAAATCAACACCATCGCGACTTCCTGCGGCCGCAATTGTCGTGGACCGTGAAGGGGTTAGCGCGGAAGAACGGAGCCTCAACCACCATAAACGCGACTCGACCCGGCAATTCATAGGAATAAAATCCTGCTCGCATATTTCCCACGCTGCAGACTCACTCACGCACGCTCCCGCCAGCCCGCCGCGCATTTTTCGGCCAGAGGCGAGTGCCCCTTTGACAAGTCGGTCCGATCCCCAAGAAATTCGATCAGTATTGTGTTGTCACGAACGTCGCAATCCGGCATCGGTGTGGATCAACTTATTTTCTCCATGCGGATCAACTTATTCTCTCCAGTCGACTGTCTTATTTATCATCAAGAACTGGGAATAAGTGAATCGGACACCACTGCGATTGTTAAATGAGCTTTGGGACCGCATCGAGGGCTCGAAACGTAGGGATACCTAGAGATATCGTCCTCAAATGTCAGCGGGTCGATTCTTGGATCGTTATCGAATGATGCTTATCGATAAATCTCTATCTTAGCAATGCTTTTTATCGATCCAGGTCATTCAATATCGATAAACAATCGAGTCGCAAGTCTTCGCCAAAGGCTTTTTTCGCATTATCAAATACGTGCATGAGAGTCATTTTACAGCGCTCTTTGGCGCTCTGTGACACTTAACCGCCACAGCACCCGGTTTCTCACTTTCCTATCTATTTCTTCACTATATCGCATATAAGAAAGAAGTTATAGAAAATACTTCAAAATCAGCCCTTTAAGCACTCTAGATGAAGCAAGAGAAAATTTGCGTGCGAATTCTGCATTCAGCGAATGTGGGCCCGAAACGGTCCTCATAAATACCCCTCTTTTTTTGCGAAAATAAACTGGCTTCACTCTGAGTTTTTGAGCCGAAGACCAGAAGAATATATAGCATGTAAAATTTGGAGTTTTTTACTGCTGGTTTGACAATGGCGTCGAAGAATGAGGATGCATTCTGAATGTTATGTGTTTTTTTTATCAATAGAGATCTAATTTTTAGTTACGTAACGCGGGCGCGGGCGCTGACTTCCCTTTCCCCTCTTGTAACGCAGCGCAACGCAATCCCATGTATTTATAAAAGTTCATATAACTGTTTAGCCCTCCAAGAACTGTTTGGTCAGTTCATGCAATTTGCCTCAAATTGTCCTCCTATTATTATAATTCCGAATATTTTGGTAGAAAAATAAATGTCAACTGCTATTCTGCCGTGCTAAGGAAGAACGCCGTATGAACATTCGAGAGTTGCAAAATTTCCTTCGATAAAATGTTTATTTTATAGAAAAATTATGAATATTTTTCCTTGCAATCTTCAGACGTTTTAGATCTAATTACAAACAAAATTATGTGAGAAATTGGTCGACCAAGACTCAAAGCTTTTCCTGAAAATTAGTGATTTGCCAGGGGAAATTTGGCAACGCCTGAAGGCTCATACGGCGTTTTTCCTTAGCACGGCAGTATTGGAAGCTATAGGAATAGAGGAACGTTTCAAAATCGTAGCGACGTTAGAAAGGTCCCCTGGCGCCACTAGCCCAGGAAGAATCAAGCGTGGAAATCGAAAGGATGGGCGCCAGATTTTGCACAGCGAGAGGATACGGTCAGTCGGTTCGCGTTCGAGTGACAAGATAAAAAGCTCATCAAATTAAACCATTAAACGGCGCTTAAATAGATTAAGTTCCCTGGATGAAAACGCGTTGCTGATAAGTCGGGGGATCCCGATAATCGCAAGTGCTCACTATCACCATCGATATAAACAACGTTACGAATGGCACATCAGCGCAGCGTGTAGTAAAACGCGAAACGTTATCCTCTTCGGGCGTTTATGAGCCAGATTGGCGATAACCGCTTGTAGCTCAATTACTCCGATTGTGCATCTATTTACACTGAGGTTCGTGGACCTTATCAATTTACTTATTGTATCTTAGCCTCACGCACTGATGCAATTGGTGTACTATCCTGCTACGGCGAATTTCTAGACCTAGAACCCACAAAATTTATATCAGTTAGAACAGGTCCGACTCCAATTTTCCACACTGGGGGAAAAAAAAAAAAACACATTGGATCTAGAGTACCGACTGTTGGAAACACATTAACAAGAAAGAGGTCTCTTGATCCAAGCAGATTTAAGCTTCAAAAGGAAATCTTCTTAAATTAAGAGGCTTGGTTCTTGATTTAAGCTTAAATCAGATTGAATCAAGAGTATTTTTTCTTGTCGATGTTTTTAAAAGTCTGGACTCTAGATCCTATGTGTTTTTTCCAGTGCATTTTGTTCTACTTATAATAAAAAAGAGAACTTTTAATTCGGGCAGTGTTTGTTTCTCTCTCACTAAGATTCGCTAAGATTAGCTGAGGATATGACGTAATGACAAATGTATGCGGAATCTAGTCGTACTCAGGGTGTTTAATTTGGTCACAAAAGGGATGGTAAAACCCAAATTACCATTTTTTTTTTTTTTTTTTTTTTTTTTTTTTTTTTTTTTTTTTTTTNTTTTTTTTTTTTTTTCATCTGAAAGTTTTTATCCGTCGGCCTTTCATCGTTACTTCTTCAGCATATATGGCCGGAGTCGGAGGCTGGCACTATGCGGAGCTAAGGAAAAACGCCTTATAAACTGACAACCCTTGTTTTAAATACTTTTTTTAAGGAAAATTATGAATATTTCTCCTTGAAAGTATCAAATGTTCAGATCGAATCGCGTCTAAGATTCTCTGGAAATTGGAAAGAAATATTC